TAAGATCCTGTTAAGTGTCCTGCCATCTGCGTCTGGATCTTCCAAGTGGTCTGCTTCTTTCATATTATCTTATCACATTCTTTTGTGCACTTAAAGATTAGGAATCCAGATTTGCTGTATCTTGAAACGACGGGTTTGGTATTCAAATTATTATTATTATTGTCAAATTTATATATTTATCTTTCATACTTATTTTTATAATTACGTCTGTCACTGTTTAGTTCGGAGAGAGCCGATGTTTCGGAGGGACATACAGGCAGGCAAGCTTATCTTCGACACTGAAAATTGTACTAATATTTCCCTCCGAATTGTCTATCTCTTGCCGAATTATATTGCGTTACAGCCCAGAAGTCTGTACGCTCCAAAGTTATCGCTGCGAAAGAACTCAAAACCAAAATATTTTCCAAAACGTTGTTACGTGTCCGTTTGTCTGTTCTTCCTGCAGTTTTACAGTTAGTCCAGTTGAGTAGAACGCATGCAGATTTATCGCAGACAGGGGTCACCACCCTATCTTGCAGATAACTAATCACAGACAGGGACTGAGTCGCATCTAGGACTCCAGTAGGATAATGCTTGTTATGAACTCCGAGAGGAGCTTTGGAAACTTTTCCAAACGCAACATCTCTTCCCTCCCATTTCTCCCACTGTGTTAACTTTTAATCCCCCCATCAGCATACAGTAGTAGAGGACCCAACAGGGACTTTTAAGCAACTAAAAGCGATTATTGGTGCCACGTTTGAACTCCCAGTTGGATCTCATTTCTGTTTTCTGACCCATGTGAATAATGGCCTTTTGTTTGTGGTGTTTATGAGGGGCCATCTAGCGGAAGTTATATGAACTAATGATGACTGCTTATCTTTCGTAATACTAGATGTATAGAATGGTGAATGGGAGAACGCGGTAGCATAGTTGGTTAAGGCACTATGCTCCAGAAGGGCTCCATTTCGATTCCCGATGAGATCATTGAATTTTTCAATTTACCTAATGCTTCCAGCCGCACTTTGACCCTGGGGTCGACTCAGCCTCTTAACAGAAATAAGCACCAGGAATGTTCTTGGGGGTAAAGGGCGGCCGGCGCGTAAGGCTGACAACCTCACCGCCATTTGTGAACCGATTGTCTAGAAAATGTGGAAGCCTCGACGTCTCACAAACTTATGGGCCTCCACTGCCTGGTACAGGGATTGCTTTACCTTTTACCTGTGTAATCTAACAAGTTCGCATTGCCTCTGTGTTGGTTCTATGTGGCTGGAAATTTTCAGGGGAGATGTTTTTTAACACGGTAATAAATCCTGTCCTCCATAGAAGCGATGAACGTGTTGATGATTTATTAATCTGCTAGAATTGCCTCGCCATAGCTCAAGCGGTTAGTCGCTGGCTTCCCACCGCGGCGGCCCGGGTTCGATCCCGGGTCTAGTCAAGTGGGATTTGTGGTGGACAAAGTGGCGCTGGGACGGGTTTTCTCCTAGTACTTCGGTTTCCCCTGCCACTCTTCATCCCACCAAATTCTCCATCATCATAATCACTCGGGGCAAACTACAATAGGCCAATCAGTGGCCGCCGTGCCGAGTGGAAACAATTGGACTCCACCCCCCACTAAGCGAATTAAAATAAATCTGCTAGGATACTGATGTACTTATAATGAAGGCCCTCTGCTAGATAAGGGATAATGGCGGTGCTCGCGTTCTTAACCTGGGTGCTAGGTGGGTGGTCAACTTCAAGCCCAGGTAGCTTTTCCGTTGGAGGAAACCCCCGTTATCCACTGGATATGAGGTAAACCGAGGTTAATAGTTCTTACAGGAGTAGTGCTCCTTCTTATGCATTGACTGTCCCCCCACTGCCTTTGTTTATAAATGTTAACACGCGGCGTGTGAATCTTAACAGGGTTTCATGAATTCCCGTATCCATACGCTTCTGGAATATATGTACAAGTGGATCCTTTTTAAGTAGAATTTCATTGTGTTTATGTTTGCTGTTCATTTAGTGCTGCTGCGTCATTCTAACAAAACCTGAAACATGGCTCACATATTTGGGGTAAATTTACATTGCACTGAATTGTAGTATAACTTTCTTTTCGGCTATTTAAATTGCTTATATAATTGTTTTTGAATAGAATTTAATGTGCAAATACATTCCATTTGCAATTAATTCGCAGATTGTACACACTTCGCAGTACCATTTAATCAATTTTAACACGAAATATACGTCGGAACATGCATATCGAGATACTGAGTATAAAATTCCTTTAAAATTATATTTGCGCTACATTAATTGAAAATAAAACTCAAAGAACATTCTTAATTAGCGCCTGTATGTAAATTACTAAATTACTCGTACTTAAATTATTCGTAATTATAAAATTTCCACTCGTTTGTTTATAATAAAATATTTCCCGACCATGTAAACTAGTTTAATTACGTACACCACTAATTAATTTGTTCTCTTTTGTAATTATTGATCCGAATTTCAACACAGCATTTTGCATTCAGCTATATCAAATGTGATACATCTTCTTGGAGACTTAGCAGCTATCTCCAAACCTTGGAGATAGACATCAAAAACAAAATTTCTTTAATATTTAAAGTAGGGAAATTTGCTTTTTATTATTTACCTGATTTTTCTGAACGTGAATGCTAGAACCGTTGAAGTTGAGCTTGAACAGAATGCCATTTCCTGCAGCTGTATTAAAGCAAACACACAAACATTTTCCGAAAATTGTGTCATCTCTTCCGGAGTTTCCTTACGTGATAATGCTTAAGTTAATAGGTTTGGGACAGGCCACATTTCAGCTTCTTAATTCTATTGACAGTCGGTAGGACTCCTTGGACGGGGGATCAGACCGTCGCAATGACCTTACCTGCACACAGGGCCACACAAACACAGAATAAACACACACAGACATCCCTGCCTTGAGTTGGATTCGACCCCACCACCCCAGAGTCCGAGAGAGCGAAGCCAGTTCATGCCTTAAACTTCGCGACCACTGTGATCGGCAATGTGGTTACAGAACTAAGTTTTGATTTCTGAATTTGAATATTATTCTCTTATAAAATTTGTGTGCAATACTGTGACATTTACAACGAAAACAAACTTGTCCCGAGGAAGGAAGAGCAACATCTGCCTGTCATGAATATATTTACCGGAAGATATCAGAAAGCTACACGTCGCATCATCGCGATACATACGTCCAAGAGAGATGCAATTTCCTGGTCTGCTGTGAAAATTCAATCACCTGGTTTTGCGGGCTCGTCATCTCACACAAGGAGATGTAGTCAAACCTATTCACAAAGGACATAGTCTGGCCAACGCGCCCGCCAAGACTGCCTCGTCCGCTCATGTTCATTGTCCACTAACTTCGTTGACGGAATATCCTTGACACGAGTTAGAGCTGAATGGCACTTGACAGGTGATGTGGGCTTCACACTGTAAGGCTGTATTTCAGGACGCATGCGTCTATATTTATTTGTTGGATGAAATGGAAATTGCTTGGTTGCCGAGGCAACGGACAAACTCAGACCGCTATCTCAAGATTAACTGAATATCAACACTGCCCTTTATAGTCTACACTGTTCCCATCCATTACGGGAGGTCGTGAAGGTGCAGGTACGGACGTGAAACTTAATGAAAGCTTACGACATTACGTTACGCGTTCTAAATGAGTTTTATTGGCTATAATGTGCCGTAAAGAATTTGCAGTTAGTGAAGTACTTCCTGCTTCCACGCTCACTCACTCATGGAGCTGAGCCCTTCTTCAGAAGCCGCCAATTGTGCAGCTACTCGAAAACTTCCCAGCATTTTATGGAACCCGAAGGTTCATTACCGTGTTCACAAGAGCCCTCCACTGGTCCCTATCCTGAGCCAGATCAATCCAGTTCACACTATCCCGTCGTATCTCTCTAAGATCCATTTTAATATTGTTCACTCACCTACGCCATGGTCTTCCCAATGGTCTCTTTCTATCTGGCTTTCCCACCAATATCCTATATGCATTCCTCTTCTCCACCATTCGTGCTACATGCCCCGCCCACCTCATCCTCCTCGACTTGATCATTCTAATTATACTTGGAGAACGTACAAGTTATGAAGCTTCTCATTATGCAGTTCTATACTACCTAATCTAATAGACTGTCCACTTTCTTGGCAGTGGTTGCAACTTTAAAGTTTTATACTGAAGCATTTGAAACATTAAAAACTCCTCACAAATTATAAAAGAAATAGATTTCCATTGTGACGGTGTAGAGCATACTCTTAAAGTAGTAAGTTAATGCAGTAGGCTAATTAAGCGACTAAATATCAAATGTTTATTAATGTGGATATTCTGTTGATTCTGAAGTAAGTACCCGAGAGCTGGAAACAGCCAGACCTATGTTAGTGCCTTCAGAAAGTGTTGCTTATTTCGGTCCAATTTTCTGAACGCTTAGAGGCAAGGAACTTGGTATAAATTCGGGAAGAGGGCATATCAAGTGGACGGACTATTAAATCAGTTTCGGACACGAAGTTGTCCAGGACTTGGGCAGTGCTCAGTAGCCTGGGTGTTCATGAAAGGAATCTGTTCATTCGCGTTACGGACAGGCAGGCCTAGACATGTGTTCGGGAAATAATCGTTTTGAATCTCGGCTGAGATACCGACTATTCTGACGATTTTCATGGTTTTCCTCAGTCGTATGGGTAAAATGCCATTATGGTGCCTTGATCAGGCCACTACCACTTCCTTCTACATATTTTTCAATTCGTTATTCACATCTTACCATTCCACGTTATTGTTTCCAGGTACCCGATAGCTCTGCAGAATAAATCACAAAAAAATCATGTTTAATTTTTATTACTGTCCACAAACGTAAAAATGGTAAGGAGGAAGTACCAGGGGCGTTCAAAAATGATTGACACTAAAAGTATTTTCTTCACAGTAACCACTTATTGGAACAAAATACATACAGATTATATTAGAGCCATTCCCCGCCAATGTCTGTGCACCTTTGCCCTCGTGCCGGCAGTTTCCGTATTTACACAGCAAACCATTCTTTAGGGGTATCCCGGCACCACTGCTGGACAACTGCCTGAAGCTCGTCGCTGGAGGAGAACGTCTTACCTCGCATGACGTCTTTCGTTTCATCGAATAGAGCGTAGTCGCTAGGGGCAAGATCGGACGAGTATGGCGGATGAGGCAGCACGGTGTACCCTAGAGCACCCAGGGTGGCAAAGGTCTGCCGACTGCCATGTGGCCGCGCATTGTCTTGTTTGAAAAGAACGCCGCGCCCCCATTTTCCGTGGCGGCGTTGCTGAATGCGTCGGCGCAGTTGGCGCCGTGAATTGCAGTACCGATCACTGTCGAAGGTCGTACTGGGGGGCAGCCAATCCAACAGAAGGATCCCCTCCTGATCCCAGAATACAGTCGCCATTTGCTTCCGGACGAATAGTCCCGGTCGTCACTTCTTCGGACGAGGGATCCCAGCGTGCTTCCCCCCCCCCATGGACTGGCGTTTCTTTTCTGGAGTCTCGGCTGCTGACCTCGTGTGAATGTGTGAAGCAGCCACTCCTTCCCTCCAGAGAAACTACACAGTCCACCGTTGATTGTCTGCTTCCATGTTGTCTGAGCGTTGTCCACGACTGCACCTGCACACCGCCACGAATGACGCAGCACTGCTCGACCTGTGCGCAATAGTAACGTCATCTTGTGGCCATAGGCGACACTATAGCATGTCTTCCCACATACGCCGGCTCGCAATCGACACTGCTACTTTTCCGGAGTTATGGAGGGACTGTCAATCATTTTTGAGCAACCTTAATAATTGTAAATTACTCTCGTAATAAGATATCAAAGAAAAGAATTCGAGAAGGAATTAACCTTTTAAAGCCAATCGGTTACTCTATGTACCACCCACTTGATCACCCTAAAACTCTGCATTCTGCCCACAGAGTGTATTTGTGTTCCGTATGGTTATCACAATAAACAGTTACTGTTTCCCTAAACAGCATTAACCGGTTGGGCTTTGTAGCGGAGACGTAATGTGTTTCCTCTGAGGTACGAACTGAATCTCTATATTATTTTTGTGTTCCGTATGGTTCTCACAATAAACAGCGACTGTTTCCCTAAACAGCATTAGCCGGTTGGGCTTTGTAGCGGAGACGTAATGTGTTTCCTGTGAGGTACGGACTGAATCCTTATATACTCGTATTATGTAGAATAAATTCAGTCTTTAAAATGTTACAGCAGTTCATTTTGTCTTCTGTTAGCTTGGGGACTGTCCCACATTCACAGCTCGCAAGATTATCTCATCCACCTCCTTTAGTTCCCATACTTTTCACGTCCGGCAATTGCGCTGAATGTTAATAACTGGTGGGCGAGCTCTTCTTATGAGCTTCTACAGTAGCTCGTTAACTGAGAGACGAGCAGATTAAAAGAGAGAGAGAAGGGGTTTCATATTCTCCACAAATTGGCTTCTGTAGAACGTCCTAGGCGACTCACGAGTGTTGACGGCGAGCAGTTCATGGTTTGTAGTAATTTTTCTTCTCAATGTGTAACGTCGCGATCTTAAGACAAGCTATTAGAAGGTTTATGGAGTTTACGGTTTTTGCATTACTATTCATTTCCTGGATGGTAGTTTTTTCGAGAAATAAGACTCTAATGTATGATTCTCTGAACTCGGCTGCCCTTTCTAAAGGAGCCCACAATTAAAATTAATAAACAGAATTTTTTTCAGTACGTATTTTGGCATATATTTCCCTTAAGGTTTATTTAATGACGCTACAACTACCTTGAAATATAGTTTTTCTCTGGCTCTACAGCCAGCCCCCTTCGGCCCTGGCCTCTGATTTCTAAGTTTCATGATCATTTTGCAGACGGTAGGACTCCTTGAACAAGTGATCAGCCCGTCGCAAGGCCACTACCTAAACACTGGACAGCATAAACACAGAATAAACACATACCAAAAATCCATGCCTTGTGTGGGATTCGAAACCACGATCCCGGCTTCCCAGCGAGCGAAGACAGTACATGCCTTAGACCGCTCAGCTACCGTGACCGGCACCTTGAATTATACAGCATCGACAGGTAGGACGATAAATGGTTCAATGAGTATAAGAAAAGTGTCATACTTTAGGCGGTTAGACATTGGTTTCTCGCCCCCTGCTGTCCGGGTTCGATCCCAGGTCAGATATTGTGGTATTACTGGTGGAAAAGGCGGCATTGTGACGAGTTTAGAGTACTTCAGTTTCCCCTACCAATTCTCATTCCACCCACTCCTACACAGTAAATAATCGTCCTAGGCTGGTACAATAAGCCAATTAGTGACCGGCCATTCAATTTTAAGCAATAAAAAATCATAGAAAGGAAAAGATCCCTTAAGTTATGTTGGTAACATTTTCGGATTTTGCATGCTTCTGTTCAGTTCACACAGGCAAATGCCGGGATAATACGTCAAATCAGGCGAAGACTTTTTCCTTCGACATTGTTCGAAATCAGTATTCAGTAAAAATGCCATCATTCGACACGGTGTAATCTGAGAAATTTAAGCGTCGCTAAATAAACAACTAAATGAACATTGTGTAACCACCCTAGTGCCGGCTGAATCCCCAAAATTTACCTGAATGAGTGACTATAGACGGGGTTTTGATTGGCCACTCGATTTATTGACCACTTACACACCACTCGAAACTACAAGCAACTATAACAGCTTGACTGCTCTACATACCCTATTTAACTGCAGCACACATAGTCTTCTATGTCATCACTAGTCGTTTCCTGTTAACGGCTTCTGACAATGTCCTCTGCTTACATCCTTACCGGCTGGCGAATATCCTACAACTAAGCTCTAAACTTTGTCTCCTTTTAAACACGGATCGCACAAAAAACACAGTTTCTCATTGTTGTATCCTTTGTTGCTTGCACAGCCATTGGTGCGAACCCCGCAGAAGACGCCGCTTTCCAGCCAGTCCTTTTTCGCGCTGGCCGCTGCCTGTCAACGGCTGTTGTCACGTTTGTTTCGCGGCCGTTATCCAGAAAAAGGGTCTACATGCTGCAATACGTAGTATTTGAGGTTCTGTTATGGACAGCTCAATATTCTGGAATATAACGCCGACTGGTTCATTAAAAATCAAGCTCTGCTTGTCACCTGCTTCAAGCTTTTTTCTTGCTTCCCTTATTCTTCTACCCTTAAGATGAAGGCGAAATGTTCCTCCGAAACATCTGTTGACTTTCGAAGTACCTCATGATGTAATATCCCAGAAGATATAACTCTTCAGCTGATAGTGTGCTGCGTGATAGCGGATGTCGTACACCTCGTGATGGGAGTGGGGTTGTGGGGTGGAATGAAGATTAGCACTGAGAAACCGAATGGAACTCGGAGAGAAAAACTTGCTCCATTGTCGCTTTTCCCACCACGTAACCCCCACACTATGTTAACTGGGGTTGAACCCAAGTCTCCGCCCCTAAATACCTGAGCTTATGCGCTGCAAAATAAGTAAAAAATATATATATTGAACTCCCGGCCTGTACAGGATGCGCCCCGGGGTCGCTGTACATGCATATTGGCATCTGCGGTGTGATGCCCTAAATTAACCAGCTGCTGGTCCTCTGTTTCTCTGCCGTATGCTGCTGAAGTCGACTGACTCTGCCTCGCTCGTAATTAGTGCGCCAAATGTTCCTCTCGGAACTTGCTCCTTGTCTTCTGCTGACTGCTCGCCCGCCATCCCACCGAGTTCCTGACGTCACTCCCATGTGAATTATAACTGAGCTCTACCCAGTACCCACTTACATGCCCGCGCCCCACTTACGGCCCACCTGTAAACTGAATTTGGCCATGTGCTTAATTAAGCACCACGCTATGGACCGCCTCTGTGGTCTAGTGGTCAGAGTTCCTGGCTACAGATCCAGAGGTCCCGGGTTCAATTCCCGACGCTACAAGATCTTCAGAGAAGTATTGGGTCTGGAACGGGGTCCATCAGCCTCGTGAGGATAATTGAGGAGCCATTTCACGGAAATAGCGTCTCCGGTCTAGAAAACCGAAATTAACGACCGTAGGGATTCGTTGCCCTGACCACGCGACACACTCTATCTGTTAAGGTTGGCACTAACTTCGCCATCAAGCGCCAGTCGCTCTCTCGGTCGGTATAGTTCGCTTGCGGACTCAAGCCATGGAGTTCGCAGTTGGAGTTGATTCGCTACGAGAACGTGTGGAGGAACTGAGGCGTAGGCCCACGTATTCTGAACCTCAGTACTGGATGGAAGTGAGTGGTCTGCTTCACGTCACCGAGCAAAGCCCCCGTATCCACTGGATAAGAGAGTGGTTAGGCCTCAATGTCGCTCTGATAGCTGTGCAGAGAAAAATCTCTAAACCATACAGTAATCGAACCCCTGTCCCTTGGTTCCCCAGCTATAGACTAGCTACTATATCGACTGAGTCTTTATATACCTACTACCCTTATGTTAAAAAATGAAAAGAAGATTATGAGATCACCTAGCTGTCTGTGTGTTCATGTATCCCCTATAATTTTTTTCGCTTTATTTGCGGTTCGTGTAGTATCAAATGAAACCAGGCTATCGGTTCTTCCCAGACCTTTTTGTATTCCAAATGCGTTATTTTTATTGTAATAAAGTTCAGAGAATTTCATATTTACATATCAGCGTTGCGTATCCTAAAAATTTGGATTCAAAATTAATTTGTATGAACTATATTTCTGAAATACAAGTAGGTTGATTTGTTTAAATTGTGTTTATTTAACGACGCTGTTTTTTTATTGCTAGTGGGGTTGGACTAAGTCCCTTGTACTGCGGCCATTTCTGGCCTATTATACCAGCCCCAGATGATAGGTGAGGGTGATTGTGGAGCAATTAGTGGAATGAAGATTGGCAGGGGAAATCGAAGTACTCGGAGAAAAGCTGCCCCTGCGCCACTTTGTCCACCACAAATCCCACTTAACCAGACCCGGGAACGAACCCGGGCCGCCGCGGTGGGAAGCTTGAGCTATGGCGCGGCCTAACGATGCTGTTAGTATCCCAAGACCACGTAGCTTCGAGTAATAGGATTATTAATGATAATTAATTGAAAAGTGTACCGGAATTTTCGTGGAGTGACTGAGGAAAATGACAAAGGACCTCCCTGAGGAAATGAAGAATTTAGGACATCAGACGATGAACAAAGTCAAGAAGACAAACTATAATAGATATTGAGGTTTCCAAATTCAGTTACGTAGTGCCGTGTAGCGTGGTATATAATTCATGACGTCTCTATGGAACCTACAGTTACCTCTTCAGTGCTGGAGGCTATTGCGTAATATATCGTCTCCATAGAAGTGAGATTTTGTGGGATATGCGGTTCACACGACGCGATGCATAGATACAAAGCTTCCTGTGCCGCTTAAACTGTAGAAAATTTCCAATATTTTGGACAAACCTGGTACT